CACAGTTGAAGTGTACCTATGATGAAAATTACTGACCTCTGTCATCATTTTAAGTGGGAGAACTTGCACAATCGGTGGCTGACTAAATACTTTTTTGCCCCACTGTATTTGTATATTATCAGATCCACCAACTGATGGGAAGTTTCTCCTGGACCACTTATATGGGACTCCTGAATGGCAGATTGATCATCAGTATGCCAGTCCAGGAGCAAAGTGACAGAAAGACTTGGACCCTCTTCAGTCCAGTCTGGTACGGCACATTTCTATGCAGTCACGTTTAGGGATGCACCGATCAGGTTTTTTGCTGCCGATCACCATTACCGATGTCAAAGAATGCTGATCACTGATACCGATCACGTGGATTGGCCAGAAATTTTCTACAACATTATAATGAGTGCTACAAACTACTGTCTGAAGATTGTGGGGGAAGCTGCACAAAGACATGTAATCTGTCGTACTGGTACACCTTTTCTTTGGTTATAGCCATGAATGGTTGTGTATTGATTTAGCTGTTTTGTGTGTTTCCTTTAGGGAAAAGATGTTCACATTGCTGACCTCTATGTCTTGGCCACCTGGAGGGATCCACAAGTCAACCTGCTGCGTTGCTTGCCGGTATGTTTTTGTTGGGTTTTACTCCTGCTTGTTTATGTTTACTAATTTGTACCAATACATGTAGGAAAACTTTAGGTCCAAAGACATCCTGATTTTTCCTGCTTGGAGTCGGCAGGCAGGTGAAGCTGACCATTATCTGCTCTGTGTGAGTGCCCTTGATCTTTCTTGCTCTGTGTTTTTTCATCTGATAGAAAATAACAGAGGTTGACATGTCGTGTTTTCATGGATGATGCTAACATGTCTATTTCAGGCTATATTGGTAGCTGAGAGACAGATACTGTTTCTGGACTCACTTGGCCCTGATGGTTTTGGAGATGATCTCTACCGAACCACATTTAGGTTGACACAAAAATGAAAATTTGTTCTGGCCTTGTTCAATGGTCTCTTGTGTTCTTTGGAAAGATCGTCTAAAAGAGCCTCGTTCTTAGGCTTAAAGGTTTGGGAGGCAGCCTCGTTCTAAGGCTACTTCATGATAGGGATGCACCAATACTGATATCCAGGCCAATACTGTTCTAATTAACTCGTATCTGTATAGTTTAGTTAACTGATACTATGAACTGATACTTTAAATGTGGAAACTGCAAAACTTTCACAGAAAATGTTTTTTTTTTCACGTGAACTTTGAATTTTGTGGTCATTTTAATTCATATGTTTTTTTTTTATCTAATTCACCATTATTTGTAACAAGCACTGAAGAAAATAAAACTGCCTTCCGATTCATTCCATTCCATTGTGTGGTAGAATTATTAGCATTGGTACTTGGGATCAACAAGTACTCGGATCCAATTATCTGTATCGTATCGGTTTGAAAAAGTATTGTTGCATCCCCACAACATGAATTTATTTTTGTTTTATGGCAAACATTTGATTGGTGTGTTATGTGTGTTCTCTACAATGCCAGGAGAGCAGCAGCCTTCATTGACTCTGGATTCTGGGTGGAGAAAACAGGAAGAGACCTTGAGGAATGTTTTCAGTGCAAAAGTTTGAAAGCTCATCAGGTGCATCATAATGCAATTAAAAACTAGCAGGTGCATGTCAGCTCTCTTCATTTAATGAAACATTTTTCTTTTTACAGTTATTTCTCCAGCAGTTCATGGGAAATTGCTGCGGCACCTTTATGCTAATGGTGAGAATTTACTTGCCATTACTTGAATATAACATTTTAACATGTTAAAGACTGATTTTACTTTGCAGCATGCTGTCTGCATCTGCACCTCATCTCCACCATCTTTCACAGAGGTAAGCTTTTTCAGACAGTACCACCAAAGTATCTGTGCCAGTCTCCAGTCTTCATAAACCTTACATTATATTTGTCTTCAGGAGGAAATGCCAGCAGTTCGCCTGTGGTGGTGTATTCAGCTGATGGAGAGATTCGGCATTGAGGCGTATGGCAGGCACTTTAGACAAACTGGCACCATCATATTTGCAGCTTTGGTTCAGGCAAGACATCAGGTCAAACAAAAGTTTGTGAAAGTGGCTTACTGTAAACCCTGTGACTGAACACACTGAAGAAAGCAGCAGTACACAACTAGAGTCCATTCAGACTGGCGTTGTTTTCTAAAGGCATGGACAAAGATTTGCCTTCTGGACAGAAGAAGCATCTCTTCTCCTCCAGGGAACTCTCCAGCCTGTCTTCAGGGTACCAAAGGCAACCTCCTCCAAGCCTTCACCAAGTCTAATCAGACCGGTGAGAGAGGACAACAATCAGATAACTATTTGTAGGACAGAACCACACAATGTTGAGACTATTCATCACAATGCAGGTTTACATACATGGTGGTAATCTTCATTTCAGTCTAACGTGATAATCATGTTTTCTGTTAAAGGCTGAGGCTGACAGGTGTCTTATACTGGAGGTAATCTATTTATATTCCTGTTTCTTTAATTTGTTGATATAACTGAATTAGTAGTTATAGTCACAGGCAGCTCCTTCAGAGACATTATTCAGTAGTAGAATGAAGTAATAGTTATGAAACACTACCCAATGTAATGTGTTTTCAGTCCTCATATTTCTGAAACTTTATGGACAAATTTTGTATTTTCACTATTGTCACCTGACATAAATTGTACAGTTACCAGAACGTGTCCTCATGGACATATTGGAAGAGGTTGTTCTTCATGAAGGGGATACAGCGATCTTCAAACTGGCTCTGGTGTGCTCCATGTTCAGAGACCTTGTGTCTACTGAATGTTTCAGAAGACGAGCACACTTCAAGTGGCTTCACAGTGAGGACTTCAGTAAATAATGAAATTATATATACAGTTATTGTTGCTGTTGTCACGTTTTTCACTACAGCATGTAAATGTAATCTTGTTTTTATACTTCTGCTTTCCACAGGTGTTTGCACATGGAGCAGGTTCTCAGAAAAGTACAGAGAACAGTACTTTAACATGTACTCTATTGAGATCTGCCTTCAATGTGGAGACCAATACAAACACTGCCCCGGAGGTATGCAACACTCAATAATCTTATATTGTTGTCATTACATATAATAAAAATCTCAATGATGCATGACATAATGAAAACCATACCACTTGGAGCCTATTCTTCTCTGGTTGATTTTTTTTAATTTATTTTTTTTACAGGATATGTTGGCAGAGGAAAAAGAGGAGAACTAAGGGCACTTTACCCGGAGGAGATGCTCCCAGGCTACTGCAGCCACTTTTGCAGCCAAATGAACAATTAATGTGTCTGCTCTGTCGCCGCCCCCGTCTCCACACACAACCACACGCACGCACACACTCATACACACGCACGCATGCACACACACGTCTGTCTTTCTATCATAGTGAGGACCCTCCATTGACTTCCATTCATTTTTGTGATTTCACCATGCCTAACCCATACCCCAACTCTAACCATAACCAACGCTGATCTTTTCCTAACCCTAACCTTAACTAAAACTTAATTCACACTATGCCTCTGAGTGGTATAGTAAGCTTCTGGTATGCTTCTAAAAAAAAGTGAGGCCCAAAAAATGTCCTCACTTTGTAGGGAAAATGGTCCTCCGTATGTAGTATGTACAAGAACACACACACACACACCACCCTGGTTGTAGTGACCAGGTTCCCCATCAGTGGTTCTCCCACATCATGGTTTGTGTTTTGATGCCTGTTTTTCTTTGTGAGAGTTTTTGATCATTCTTCTTGGAGAATCAATTTCCCTCTGGGATTAATAAAGTATTTTTGAATTTGAATTGAATTGAGTACTATAGCAAAAACTGTAATGCTCTGATTGAGAAAGTGAATCTGTTGGGCTTGTACCTGGTACTCGGAGTACCACACTGCCAGAAAGGACACGCTGAAAATAAAAAGCTTTTTATTTCCATCAATATGTGTCTCCTTATTCAAATAATTGTAACCATCCTCTCAATCCTTTTTCTGTTGTTCATGCTCTTGTAATCTGTTGTTTGTGTTCTGCATTATTACAGTAAACCGGTGGAAATTATAAAGTGGACCTGTGGTATTTTATATGGATATAAACATGAGTGTAGTTAAATCTGTATTTAACAAATGTTTAACCTATGAATACCATGAGAAACTATTTTACAACATTAATTTTGCAACATTGTGAAAATGATCACTATGGTATTACAAAGAATTAAGTTATTTCAAGACAAAGTGGCAAACTAAGAAATCTAACACAAAAGTAGAAAGTAAACAAATTTTAGGTGATGAGCCAAATTGGCTTTTGTGCAAGAATATATTACATTTCATATTGGAAAACATTCATAGGACATGTAGTGCAAATTAAGAATATCTGCTGTATCACAATGACACATTTTCAGCTTTTAAATGAAAATCTAACCTATTGTGTGGAGAAAAAACAAACATGAAATAGGTTACCTGAAGACTAATCAGCCAGTGTTTACTGACAATTTACAGTGGACATCATCAACAGAACATCAAGATAATTCCAATCAATCGTCTCCACATTTACAAGCATAAACACGCTAAATCAAATTTAACACGCATATAAAAACACGACTTGTAACAACGCAAATTCAGTTTACAATCGGGCTAATTCGCTCATTCAGCAAGTGGCAGTATCCTTGTACACTGTGGAGTAAACTGCCATTTAACGGATCACAAGAAGAATAGAACATCTGCACATGCGCGGTACGGATCAGGTAGACCCGATCTGTACGGTCCGACGTTTTCTTTTTTTTTTCATTTTTATCTACATTGTATTGAAATGTTTCAATATTGCAAACATTTTAATAGATACTTATTATTTTTAACATCTTAACAGATACTCTCTGACCCCTAACTATCGTAAAAGGCTTCGAGCGGAAGTTGACGTCTTTCGCGCATGCGTGGTACCGATCGGGTTTTCGGTACCACGCATGCGTACTGACAGGTACAGTCCAGACCGACAAAGCCTTTATGACATCATCGTCTACTCAACAGGTCAGAAAGCAACAGTCTATCACCGCGACAGGAACTAGCCACTAGCAGAGATGGCCGCTGAAGCTATCAACCTGAATTATATGGATTTACAAGAGAGTTGCAAGGATCTACTGGACGAATTAAGGTCTGTAGAAACTGAAAAACAGATTATCTTCAATGATAAGCAGGATTTTTTAAAAGTTCTGAAAAAAATTAACGACTACAAGGATGAGCTTAAAATCATTTTCCAGAGAGAGAAAGATGATTTGGAAGACGAAAATCAACGTCTAGAAGAAAAGAAACGGAGGCTTGAGCAGGAAAGCAAAGATTTGGACACAGCTAAGACAGAAATTCAAAAAGAATGGAAGCAGATTGAAGAAGTTAAAACATCAAATCAGGAATTTCTAGAAGATTTGATTACGAAAAAATCTCAAACGGAAAAGCTTTGGAAATCGCTGCAAGACAGCAAAGCAAACGCGATTGAAGAAATAAACCAGATGAAAAGAGATCTGGAGAAAGAGAAATTCGATTTTGATGAATCAAAGAAATTATCAGAAAACAAACTTGAAGAACTGAGACAAGCTTTGCTGGCTGAGAGAGACGAGTTTGAACAGCAGAAGTCTAGCTCAGAGCTGGAGAATGAAAATGCTCGACAGATTCTGCAAGAAGAGAAAGAAAATCTACAACTTATTTGGCAAAATCTGGAGGAAGAGAAGGTGGATTTTAAAAATAAGCTTCAAATAGTAAAGCTAAAGTTAACTGAAAGTCAAAATCATTTACAGAAAGGCATTCAAGATGTAATTCTCCAGACAAAAGCCCTGCAGGAAGATCAGTTGAACTTTGAAAAAGCAAAGGCTGAAACAGAAAAGGAGCATGAAGAAATATACAGCTTTCTCCAGGAAGGCTGCACATGGTTAGACTTGGAGAAACAAAGCCTGGAGCGGCAGAAACTCGAATTTGTGGAAGTTCAGAACAAATTGGATCAGAATAATAAGGAACTCCTGCAAAAAGAGAGAGAACGGATGAATCAGGAGCTGCGAGAGGAAAATATTCACTTTCTTGAACTGATAAAAGCAGAAAGACTTCGTCTAAAAAACGGTCAGAACAATTTGCAGGAGGGATTAGAAGATCTGATTCTCGACAGGAAAATTTTTCAGAAGGAAATGATTCACTTTGAAACACAGAAGACAGAATCTGAAAAGGAGATTGCAGAAATATACAATCGTCTCCAAGAGGGGTTCGACATTTTACATGTCGAGAAGGAAAGTCTGATGCAACAGATGGCAGAATTTGAGCAAAAAGAGAAAGAATCAAATCAGCTTTATCTGGAAGTTTATCAGACTCTCCAGGATGAAAGGGAACATTTAGAGCTGATGAAACAGAGTCTGCAAGATGAAAAGATTCACTTTGTTGAACTGATGAAAACAGAAAGTCTTAGTTTACATGAGAGACAAACTGATCTGGAGAAGGGATTAGAAGATCTGATTCTTGATAGGAAGAGTCTGAGTGAAGATATGATTCACTTTCAGCAGAAAAAGGAAGATTCACCTCATGAAATGAATTCAGTCCTTCAGACTCTGAAAGACGAGAGAGAAAGCTTAGAGCTGATGAGGCAGGCTCTGGAACAGGAAACAGAGTTTGAAGAAGCAAATCAAAAAGAAACCTCCAACATAAATGATACAGAAACAGCTGCAGAGGACGAGGTAGAAAGTCCTTCTGCTCAGACTGAATTTCTGCAGGAACGAATGATGAGTTTTGAACTTCCCCAGACTAAATCTGAAGAGGAGATAAGTGAAATGTACAATTATCTCCAAAATGGGCTTATATATGTAGACGCTGGACTAGAAAGTCTGGAAAATCAAAGGAATACATTTGAGGAGATGGAGACAGAGTCTTATCAGACTTTACAAGACGTCCAGCGGGGTCTCCAGGAGGAGAGAGATAGTTTAGAAATGAAGAAACACAGCCTGGAGGAAGAAAAATTGGAGTTGGAAAAAATGATTGCAACAGAAAAACTTAGTTTACATGAGAGACAAAAAGATCTGGAGAAGGGAGTAGAAGATCTGATTCTTGATAGGAAAATGTTTCAGAAGGAAATGATTCACTTTGAAACACATAAGACAGAATCTGAAAAGGAGAATGCAGAAATATACAGTCGTCTCCAAGAGGGGTTCGACATTTTACACGTCGAGAAGGAAAGTCTGATGCAACAGATGGCAGAATTTGAGGAAAAAGAGAAAGAATCAAATCAGATTTATCTGGAAGTTTATCAGACTCTCCAGGATGAAAGGGAACATTTAGAGCTGATGAAACAGAGTCTGCTGGAGGAAAATAATCAGTTTGTTGAACTGATTGCAACAGAAAAACTTAGTTTACATGAGCAACAAATGGTTTTGAAGAAGGGATTAGAAGATCTGATTCTTGATAGGAAGAGTCTGAGTGAAGATATGATTCACTTTCAGCAGAAAAAGGAAGATTCACCTCATGAAATGAATTCAGTCCTTCAGACTCTGAAAGACGAGAGAGAAAGCTTAGAGCTGATGAGGCAGGCTCTGGAACAGGAAACAGAGTTTGAAGAAGCAAATCAAAAAGAAACCTCCAACATAAATGATACAGAAACAGCTGCGGAGGACGAGGTAGAAAGTCCTTCTGCTCAGACTGAATTTCTGCAGGAACGAATGATGAGTTTTGAACTTCCCCAGACTAAATCTGAAGAGGAGATAAGTGAAATGTACAATTATCTCCAAAATGGGCTTATATATGTAGACGCTGGACTAGAAAGTCTGGAAAATCAAAGGAATACATTTGAGGAGAGGGAGACAGAGTCTTATCAGACTTTACAAGACGTCCAGCGGGGTCTCCAGGAGGAGAGAGATAGTTTAGAAATGAAGAAACACAGCCTGGAGGAAGAAAAATTGGAGTTTGAAAAAATGATTGCAACAGAAAAACTTAGTTTACATGAGAGACAAAAAGATCTGGAGAAGGGAGTAGAAGATCTGATTCTTGATAGGAAAATGTTTCAGAAGGAAATGATTCACTTTGAAACACAGAAGACAGAATCTGAAAAGGAGAATGCAGAAATATACAGTCGTCTCCAAGAGGGGTTCGACATTTTACACGTCGAGAAGGAAAGTCTGATGCAACAGATGGCAGAATTTGAGGAAAAAGAGAAAGAATCAAATCAGCTTTATCTGGAAGTTTATCAGACTCTCCAGGATGAAAGGGAACATTTAGAGCTGATGAAACAGAGTCTGCAAGATGAAAAGATTCACTTTGTTGAACTGATGAAAACAGAAAGTCTTAGTTTACATGAGAAACAAACTGATCTGGAGAAGGGATTAGAAGATCTGATTCTTGATAGGAAAATGTTTCAGAAGGAAATGATTCACTTTGAAACACACAAGACAGAATCTGAAAAGGAGAATGCAGAAATATACAGTCGTCTCCAAGAGCCATGTGAGGAAAAAGAGGAAGAATCAAATCAGCTTGATCTGGAAATGTAGAGCTGACGAGGCAGGCTCTGGAACAGGAAATAGAGTTTGAAGAAGCAAAGAAGAGTTTCAAGAATCTGAAGGACCAACAGCATTTAATGAGAGAAATGCGAGTAACTGAACCCAAACAATGTGACAAAGATGGTTTATTTGCGAGAAGGGACAGAAAATCTTTTATGACTCTTACTTTAGATTTTCCTTATAATTTAGACTTGCTTATAATTTAGACTTCCTTATAATTTAGATTAATAGTCCAATCGTATACTTAGGGGTTTAGGGTTAGAGCTCAACTATAACCATGTGTCATCATTTGAACTTCATGCACTTTAAGGGAAGCTAGGTTTCAATCTAGGGGCGCTTCAACGCCGCCCAAACTGGGCTAGAAACACGTGCTAATAATTTAGACCTCTACTTATAATCGGGTTTCGAATTACAGGGGAGCTAAGGGGAGCCCGGCTGTCTTCTTCAGGACATTTCTAGTTTATTTATTTATTTACTTATTTATGGCAACGTAATTAGCACACAACATTGTAAAAATGCCTCTTTAATTGGCCTGCCAAATAATTAATGATTTGCTTTGATGACATCATCAAAAGGGGTGGGGCAAGGGGAATTCCAACAGAAAATGTGTGCCAGGTTCCTTTTTAACAGTTCTTCAGGGATTTTCTAGTTTAACCTAAAGTTAAGGCGGCGGAGCGGGGTGGGGGCTAGGGTTAGGGTTCAGAAGCTGACATCAACGAGCTGAGAAACAAAAATCTGACTTTTGTTGCATTGTTTAGTGTTTATGTCACGTCTTTATTACCGACCCTTTCATAGGAACACCGATCTAGGATGTAGATGGATATGTAGATGGGCTGCATGGTGGCACAGTGGTTAGCACTGTTGCCTCGCAACACGAAGGTCGCAGGTTCGAAACTCAGCTGTGGCCTTTCTGCGTGGAGTTGCGTGTTCTCCCCATGCATGCGTGGGTTTTCTCCGGGTACTCCGGTTTCCCCCACAGATCACAACATGCCCTATAGGTTAAAAAAAAAAAATAAATAAAATTGTAAGTCGCTTTGGGTAAAAGCGTCTGCTAAGCACATAAACATAAACATGAGCATTAAAACTAAAACCAAAATAAACAAAAAAAGAAAATTAAACATAAACAGGGTTGAAAACAAACAAAAAGATTAAAAAAAACTAAAAAATAAATAAAAAAAAACTAAAAAATAACTAAAATTAAAGAAAAAAAAATCCCTTCCGCAGAATCGCCACCTTATCGTGGTGGAAGGGTTTGAGGAGCTCCATGATCCTGTAAGCTGTGTTGTCAGGGCCATCAGCCCCTGTCTCCCATGGCAACATGGTCTCAGCTTAGAGCTCGGACTAAGAGCGGTTCAAACACCTCAAGGGCCACACCTGTGGGAGTGAAACGGATCTAAGGGAACCAAAGAGCATTGTTTTAATGTTTCGAAATGGTAAATGTCTTGTATTTGTATAGGGCCTTCTAGGGTTCTCCAACCCCCCCCAAGGCCATTCACCCATTCACACTGTAGTGTAAAGCCGGGCGTACACTGTGCGACTTTTTCACTCGTAGCACTCAGCTTCAGCTCAAACTGTACGACTTCCTCACAGGGCAGATCTCACGAGTCATGTGCTCACACTGCACGACCCAGTTCTCGCATGCGACCTGACTGCTCACACTGTACGTCTGGTAGCAACACGTCGGCCCTAAAAATATGCTAAAAATAGCAGTTTTTACACAACACGTCAGACTTTTTTGTTTTGTTTTGCCTGTTGTCCTTCGGGAGTGCTGCAGGACACACAGGGATTTATGGGGGTTGGATGAGGAAAACGGAATAAAGAAAGTAAATCTGTGTTTTGTGATCAGTTTAATTTGACATGAACACGACAAACACGCTTTCTTGACAATCTTTGTGAGTAAAAAAACGTGTAGAAACAAAAACGAACAACGTGTGTTATTAGGGAAATAGCGAGCGGCGTTGATGCAGGATTGCGCATGCGCCGTGAGCGGTTCTGATACATTTTGGGTCGCAGCTGCTCGCAGCGCCGCTTCAACAGTGCAATACCCTCACGAGGGACGAGCGAAATATTAAACACGTCAGAAGTCCGTGCGACCTCACGACTGCTGATCGGCAGCTGGTCACGTGGTGTTAATCGCCTCTCGTAACCCCCTGTACACTACACGACCGCTCGGCGCAAAACTCGCCCCGATGTCGTGGATTCTCGCACGACTGGAAAATCGGATCAAAAAAGTGAAAAAGTCGCACAGTGTACGCCCGGCTTAAGAAAGCCATGTAATACCAAAGGTCATTACACTGCTCAGCCATCTTCATCAGTGGGCTAAAGGTAAACTGTGCTTTCCAAACTAGAACAAATGCTCTGTTTTTGACCTCGCCATCTGGGGAACCGTCATAACAAAGTTCCTCTCCTGCTATTTATCTGTGCTGCAGGACTCCTGGAGAAGACGAGACTTTTTAACCTTAATAAAAGATTAATATTCTGTTTCATACAATGATTTTCCCACTTTACATATTAATTACAACCATAGACCAATGAATGTTTTATCTAAAGTAAGTTTAATAAGACTTGATTGCTTGACAGTAATAATGAATCAAAATAACTGTTTATTGTTAAAATGCATTGTTTCAGATCTTAAAGACACCAAACGAATCTACTCGATGAGTTTTTGAATGAATGAATGATCAATTTTTGAATGAATGATCAATTTATTCAGTCAGTCATCTTAAGATAATGTACAATAACATGTCATACAAATAGATACAAATTTCTCACTGACATATGTTTTCATTTGTATATGGTGTCTATTTGGTATCTCATGACTGAATAGGTTTAGGCAGAAGCAATAGCTTATATAATTGCCTAACCTACTTACAAAACAATTTTTCAGTTTCCCGCAATGAACCAACAACCCAAATAAAAGTAAAACACAAATCCATCCATCAACATCAAATTAATACTCTTCAAAAATATTTTTACTGATAAGTTTTTTAAGAACTGAAAGAGAAGTTGCTAATTTTAATTCTATTTTAGCCTGATTCCAAAATTTTACTCCCATTACAGAGATACATCTACTTTTCATGCCCTTTTTGGCTTTTTGTAGAACAAACATACATACACCTCTTAAACCATATTTACTTTCCCTCTTTGCAAAAAACATTAGTATATTTTTTGGCAGAGCCGTTAATTTTACTCTAAACATAAATTGCATTATTTTATAATAATATAGATCTTCTAATTTCATAATCTGTGATTTTAAAAACAACGGGTCAGTATGAGCATAATAATTGCTCTTGTTTATAACTCGAATAGTTTTCTTTTGTATAGTTTTTATTTCATGTATATATGTTTTAAAGGTTGAACCCCATATTTCTATACAATATGCCATGTATGGTTGTATTAGTGAACAGTATATTAGACGTAAGGCCTTATGGTTTAGTATGTCCTTCAGCTTATATAATAGACCCAAGGATTTGGCAATTTTTCATTTTATATAATTTAAATGATGCTTCCAGGATAAGTTAGAGTCAATCACAACACCAAGAAATTTTATTTCAGACACTCTTTCAATTTCAGTATCTGAAATTGTTAATTTAAAGTCTCCATTTTTTACCTTCTTATTTCCAAAAATCATAAATTTAGTCTTTTTTATATTCAGTGATAGTTTATTTACATCAAACCAAGATTTGAGGATATTTAACTCTTTTTCGGCCTTCTTTAAAAGTTCTTTTATATCTTTACCTGAACAAACTAAATTTGTATCATCTGCAAACATTATAAATTTGAAAAAACAATTTTATAACACTATCATGCCTATTGTAGCCAGAGTTTGGTTGGATTAACGGCAAATGTAAGTACAAGGCTGGCAGTAGAAAAAAGAGGGCAATGTTTCTCTCATCTACTGGTAACAGTTAGCTAGCAGCAATAACGGTTAACAACCATGCACTTTATGCTAGGTGACCAAACCTCTTTTTCCGTGACATTTTTGCTTTTTATGTGCTATTAGGGGCATCTGGGAAGATTTCATAGATTGATAAAATGTCTAGGTTTTCATCGTTTTTCAGAAGACTTCATCTTACAAATACATAAATGTGACAGCACAGCCCTGTGATATACTCCCGACCTGCTCAAGTGGATGGTTCTGAAAGGAGGTTGCGGTGACACTCCACCTGAGACACCAAACCCTGCAGTGGGAACACCACCTGCCGATGGGGGAGATAATGGTGCCGCTGAGACTCTGGCCGTGGCCCAATACCTTGCGGTGGGAACACCACCTGCCAAAAGGGGGGCTGTTGAGATCACTGACCCTCCTCCACCGGTACTGCTGGCGCTGGTGACCTCTGTCACTGATCCACCTACCACAGGGGGGGTTGCCTGCCACCCTGTACCACTACTGGCAGACCCTAGTCTCTCTGACTGCACCTGTGCGTCGAACAAGGGCCCTCCAGAGAGCTCACCTGCGCCGATCCCTTGCAAAGCCGCGCCTACACAAATGTACGGTCCAAAACATTCTTTGTTTCAGTTTTCAGGACTGACAAAGTACCTTTTGTTAGTTGCGGGCAGCTTAGCTCCCTCCGCAGCCTCTCCTAACGCGACCGTATGTACCTGAGTCCTCTTCGGGTACCACACTCCGAGAGCCCCCAGATCTACTGATAACATCTCATGACAATCATTTACCTTTGCGTAAGGTCAAAGGTCATTCTCATTCACTTGGAGCTGATAAGGATCTAAACAATCTTACAGACTCTCTTGCCACTCAAGGTGAAGCTGTTGGTACCCCGTGGTCCTTTGACCCCTTGTGGCACCCTGACGATGTGTCCTCTCGGTCAGACCCACCCGTTGTGTGTGTCGTGACTCGAGCTCAGGCCGCTAAGGCGTCCACCCCTCGACCATCTGATGGTTTCGTGTCTGTTAAACCAGTTTTTTCTGACAACGACCTTGTCAGCCTCCAGTCCCGGGACCCTGCTATCAGCAGGATGAGCCTGTACCTTTCTTATCCGACAGCTCATCTGCCTTCTTCTGTCGAGCTTGGCTCCGTTCCTGAGCTCCGTGCTCTCTTTCGGGTTCGTGTCACGCTGAGGATGGTTAAAGGTTTGCTAATGCACATCTCCAAGCCTCCGTCGTCACCTGTCCTTGTGGCACCACAGTCCCTAAGGGGGGCTATGATAGTACAAGCCCATGATTCTCCTTCTTCTGGGCACAAAGGTGTCAAGGCCACGTTCAGTGCCCTTAGCCAGGTTGCTATTGGCCGGGGATGCATCAGAACATCTCAGACTACATCCAGAGCTGTTTGGTTTGCTGCCAATTTCAACCATCTAACCCCATCCACAGAGCTCCTCTTCAGAGCAGAGGGCCGTCCACTCCGTGGTCGGACCTGCAATTCAATTGGGTGGGGCCCATGACCAAGTCCAGCAGAGGTAACAAATACTTCTTGACCATGATGTGTGCATTCACCAAATGGGTTGAGTGTTTGCCGGCACCTAACGACACGGCTCAGACAACTGCTGTCCTCTTGATGAATCACATCTTCTCCCGGTTCGGTCTCCCCGAACATGTTAACTTGGATAGGGGAACTCACTTCACCTCTGGGGTGATGGAACACCTTTGGAGGATGTTGGGTGTCAAGGCCAATTTCCACATTGGTTATCGGCCCCAGTCTTCCGGCCAGGTCGAACGCATTAACCGAACAGTTCTTGGCATGTTGAAGAAATATCTGTCCTCTAATCACAGAGACTGGGATGTGAAGCTTCCGTTGGTCCTTATGGCCATAAGGGCCACTCCTCATGAGTCTACAGGCGTCTCCCGGTTTGAGATGATGACGGGTAGACAAATGACCCTGACGCTTCACTTGCTGTATCAGTCATTTCAACCCAGTGCAGATACAGCTTACACCAACGAGCAGTATTTGCAAGACTTGGACCATCTGCCTGCAGCGTTTTCTTTTGCACAGACAAATCTGGAGAGATCAGCTGAAGGCAGGAAGGCCTGTTATGATCAGAAGACCTCACATTCTGAACTCATTCATCGTGGGTGATAAGGCCTGGTTCTATATTTTTGCTCCAAATACTGGTCAAACAAAAACAACCTCTGGTAAACTGGCTAAGTGCCGAAGTGGTCCGGTCCATACCGGATAACTGAAAAACTCTCTCCGATTGTGTATCAGATCAAGATCACTGAATGGAACAAAGATCCCATCTATAAGTGGGTCCACAGAAATCAGATCAAATTACACAAGGGTTCCGCCTATTTGGACGAAGCTGCAACCCATGGATCTGCTGACCAAAATCAAATTGACTCAAAAAGGGGGGGGGGGGGGGGGGGGGGTGTTCCATCCACTCTCCCTCGGTTCCCTGTTTCAGGTCTCACAAGTTCTGTTGTGTGTATGTGTGTGCGTGGATAGAATTTATGTCTAAATGTAGCATACGAACTTGGATGACACTGCTGTGGTTCTGTTAGGTCATGACAGTTAAAAGTGAATAAATCCACAAACTGTTATGTTTGATCCAAAAGCAATTTGTATTTTTCAACTTCTAGTGATTTTGACCATTTTTTTTGTACGCCGAAGGACTAATTTGGGTCCATTTATTAATTTTTATATATTTCATTTTATTTACTAATCTCTAATTTCTACTGTTTATATTCACATGTAGGTTTGAGTACTAACATCTCTGATTTACATTAATGTGTTTTATCCTCTTTATATTAGCTGTATTACTGATTCTTTAAACAGATAATCACAGATATATTTCTGCATTATTTCATTACTGCTGATTTCCTTTTGTCATTTCTATTATGATCAATTTTATTTTGATTTTTACCAGTTATGGGCTACAGTTTATTTTGCCTTCTTTTTTGATAACATTTTGCTCCAAGCGTTGATTTTCCCTTACTTGTATTATAGGGTTATGTTGATTTAGTTCTGTTTGCAACAATTTTTCAGTACACGTAGTTTACTACATCCATTTCTATCACCTGAACTCCGTTCACATAATTTGCTTCACATAGCACATACAGGTAGGGCTGCAGCTATCGAATATTTTTGTAATCGAGTACTCTATCGAATCTTTTTTTCGATTAATCGAGTACTCTAATAAATTACCCTTTTGTGTTTGTAAACCATTATATCAAATAGCATGTTATAATTATGAAAGACCTCTTAAAATGAGCAAGCAATCGCCAGTTATTCTTCAAGTTTTATTCAAGATTAGTTTTCAAAACTTCAGCACTTCAACTTTACTTCACAGTAAACAAATGCCTGTGCAAAAAATTAGTATACAACCTGAGCCGATTTTCCCCTCGTGCGAGAATCTGCTAACCTGCAAGCCAGAGGATAACTGTTGAAGTAGCGCTGCGAGCGGCTGCGGCCCAAACAGAACCAGAACCGCTCACGGCGCATGCGCAAACAGCTCGCCGGCTGTTTCCCTATTAACACACGTCCATTTTAATTTCTACACTTTTTTCTCACACAATAACAAGGATTGTTGAAAACATGTTTGCCGTGGTTTTGTCAAATTATACTGATCACAAAACATTTATTTACTTTTTTTCGTTTTCCTCCGCCACTCATAAATACCCGTGTCCTCCTGCAGAAACCCCGAGGGACAACGGACATCAATAACACAATAAAAAGTCTGACGTGTTGTGTAAAACTGCTATTTTGTAGCACATTTTAAGTTCGACGTGTTGCTACCAGATGTATGGTGTGAGCTAAAACTGAGTGCTACAAACGAAAAAGTCGCACAGTGTCTGCAGAATATATAGAAATACAGGCTAAAAAGCATTATCTTGTAGAGGCTGAGTCCGCTTGCAGAAGTGACATTTACAGGTGCTGCAGCACGGAGGATGTGGTGTTGTGGTAGGCTAAATCCATTTTACAGTATTTATACTGGACTACGTTTTCCGCCTTACGACGTGAAAAATGGTCCCACACCTTTGACATTTTGAGTCTTTTTAGAACTCCACCGGGGTCTACGTTGTCCGCCATGGCTTAAGAGAAAGTTAAGTTACGTTCGCTACTCGCGTGTGCATTCAGCCCAGTGGGCATGTGCGTCACTTATTTCGGTCCGGGTGAAACATGACCCCGGGCGATTGCAAAGCCATGAATTAATTAAATATGAATTAAACGAATCCTCGAGGATCTTTTGTACTCGAATTAATCAAGGTACTCGAGGAATCGTTTCAGCCCTACATACAGGGTTCACATAATTGCTTCACATAAAACATGTAGGCACATGTAGTGCTAGGTTTATTTTTGTTTGTTGTTTTGCATCAGGCGCCATCCATGTGTGTCTACATTGAAATGCCCTGTGTCTGCTCTTCTTCTCCTCTGGGTTCGCCTGTGATCGTCGCTTCCTAGGCGGGTCTCTCTACACCATCGCCTGATGTAGCTGCCTGCTGACTGAGGGTTCGGTTCGTGTGGGTCTGGACGTCCTGTGGTTCCTGCCGTACAAGCAATGGTCAGTTTAGGTACAGCTGACCTTCCATCTATTCATCTATTCAACATCTGGTCTTTAAGGAGACACAACATTGCTTGTGTTCCCTTTAAACAAGTCTGCCTTCACACCAGCTGGGAGTCAGACTCCACTTGTCTGATCCAAAACAAGAACTAACTTTTTCCCCAAGGTCTTATCTGCGCCTCCAGAAGAAAGAAGAGCAGCTCAAATAAGTTGCTAAACTCAAGAATATTATAATAAATCATTACTAACTCCTTTTATTACTTTAATCTATTAAATCATTAAATTAAAAATTGCTTATTATTACTTTTGGGAAAAATATAATGAAATGAAATGCTTCATTAATCTAAACCACTGAGTGGATGTTACGTTTATCTAATAGACTGTGTTCACCATGTTTTGACGACAAGGTCTTCACACCTGCTCACACTGCTCAAAAACCATAACAAGGCTAAGTCAAATTCATTTCACATAGCTAGACCTTCCACCCAGATCAGAGTCTTCACATTAAGAAGGCATGTTTCTGTTGCCTTGGTAACATTTATGTTCCTGTCAGCTTCTAATTGGCTGACCAAACCATAACAAATAACTTATAAAACTAAAGCAGACTGAGAGATCTTCAGTTCTGAACAGTCCTGGAGAGTACTGGAAAGTTCTGGAGATGGCTCAGATTGGCCACCTGTTTTTAATACTCCATAAACATCCCAGATTTTTACACGTCGAGAAAGAACCTTTTTGTATCCGCAAAGCTGATGAGAAAAACTTCCTGCAGATCAAAGCTGATATTGTTCAACTCCATAAGAGAATCCCTGAGACGCAAGCTGATTCCATCCTTTATTGCCTGTTGACATCTTTTGGACCGTGGAAAGTCGCTACCGTGTGGTCAAAATACTGGAACTGGGTGCCCCGAGGTCATCTGACCTCCTTGACCTCTGGATCCTGACAAGGCAATCACGTGGGCAATGACAGCATGAACTGGAGGAGTGTGATTGGGAGGAATGGCCCGCCTGGACACCCGAGTGAAGAGAGGAGCGGAGCTGTCAA